CTGGTGCTGCCGGGCCGCAGCGCGCAGGGCTGCTGCGCAGGGCACAGTGGACATGGGCTCAGTGCGGGTCCAGCACAAGGGCAGGGATGGAGGTGGCCAGGCGCCCAGGCACGAGGGCAGGGTGGTGGTGACTGGGCGCACGGGGCTGATACTCTCATGAAATGGAAGCATACAGTGACAAAACCTGTTCGATACACAGCTCACCGGAGCACAGTGAATCCTGGCGGACCTGCCGTAGTTTTAGGAAGAATGCTGACGGCTGGCATTCACCGCAGGATACATGGCTCTGTGTTCCTGTGTGTTAATAGAGGTGGTGTGTTTAGTTCAGAGCTCCCTGTCTGTAGGGTTGGAAGGCACCGTGAGCAGCAGTGCTCCCCCAGCAGCATGGGCGCTCTCCATGGCAGGAGCAGCCCGTGTCCCTCGTGCTCCCGGCCCCGCGTCCCGCGTGCTCGGCCCTCCCGCCCCTGCCCCACCGTCACCGCCGCTTTCTTTTTGCCTTCTAGACTGATCAATGGCCAGCAAGGAATTACTATTAAAAACTATAGCACCAGATCCCTTCTCACTGTTACCAATGTGACAGAGGAGCACTTTGGCAACTACACGTGTGTCGCTGCCAACAAGCTCGGCACCACCAATGCCAGCCTGCCTCTGAACCGTAAGTACGCGCGGTCGGCAGCGCCGCCGCGGCGCGAGCCAGGCCGCCCCGCGCTGCGCCGCGTGCCGAGGGGCTGCTGCACAGGGAGACGCCGGAGGCGCCGCAGCACGAGCTCGCGCGGCCGGGCTCTCCAACAGCCTCCTGGAGAGCTGTAACCGCGAGCACGGGCTCCTGGCGCTCGCCGATGGCCTTGCCGTCTGGCCGCAGCATCGAGCGCTGCGCGCGGCTCAACTTCAGCGCTGAACTCTGTGTGTTTCGCTCRCTGTGAGGCCAAAAGACAACCTAGAACATATGGGACAGAGTTGTTATTCTTTTGTAAGCACCAGTGCGATGTTAAACCTCACAGGGAGGTGGGAGACAGGAAGGGGACGCAGCCTGGCTCTGCTGCCCTTGCTGGATGCACAAGGTTGTGACTGCAAGGCCATGATAAAACACCTCATGCTATTTCTAAATTCTATGAAAACAAGCATTTGTTTGCAAAAGTTGCTGGTCTATGTTTCAGATGGTAGCTAACATTGTTCAGTTTGTGGGTGCACACCTTTCCTCACTCATGGCTTGCACTGAAATGATCTAGAAAGAGAGTTTCTCTTTGCAGAAAACTCTCCAAGTAGTGACAAATGAAATATGAAATACTTATTTAATACTTCAGAGTGAATTCCACCTTGTAAGAAGCTACTTAGATTTTATTTTGTTAGCAATCACAGAGAGCTTGACATATGCTCTGATTCAGGTGTGTGTGGAGGAACAGTAGAGTAATTAATGGTTAATTGCTACATAAGGTTGTMAAATATAGGTTTGTAAAAATAATTTCATCAGCATGTTACTTGACATGAAAAGTTGGAAATGAGACGTTGATGTCTTACAGCGAGGCCTGCTTAGAGCAGTCGCTGCAGTCGTGCGGTGCATGGGTGCTGGCCAGGGTGCTGCCGCTGGCCAGGGTGCTGCCGCGGGGAAGGGTGCGGTGCCGCGGGGAAGGGTGCGGAGCCGCGGGGAAGGGTGCGGAGCGGCGGCGCCCGCGGGAGTCCCGGCAATGTGGGGGCTCCTCAAAACTAGTAAATTAACCCACTATAAATGGCACAGAACATGTAACAATGTGCCTGTTGCTGAGTCACGCTGTGGATAGCGGGTGTATCACTGGATACGTCCCCGGAACAGRAGGGTCCCGGGGTTTCCGGGTGGAAACCATTAAAACGTCTGCAGTGGCCTTGCTGCACCTCCACTGCKGGGCAGACGCTGCTCTGCGGCGGCGGCAGGAGGACCCAGAGCCTGAGAGCTGATCCTCCTTGCGGAAACAGAACGAGCAGGATGCCCAGTGAGCGTTAGGAAAGGTACCCGATACCTCGGTGTGTATTTTGTCCAGCTTTTGTTTAACTTCCGAAACCACCCACTTGTGGTGYCTTAGATACATATTCGTAGTGACCTCGAGTAAAGCAGAGAGATTCTAATTTACGCATCTGAAAGCGCATCTCCATTTTCATTCCGGTACCAGTAATGATGATGATTAAACATTCAAGGTCATTTGTGGAAGTTACTCCCAACCCAGTAATGAACACAGGGGCTGCCCAGGGCCGGATTGGGCTGGAAAACTAATGCTCCCAGCTCTTTCTCGAGCCATGCTTCTATCTATCATGGAGTAAGTCAAAAACTTCACTAAATCAGCTTTTTGGAAAACTGGAAAGCCCAAGGACAACCTGCTTGGCCAGTGAGATGAGAGTTAGGAGTGCAGTAACATGCTGGTGAGCACAGAGCCCGCAGCGCAGTCGGGAATGCGCCTGCAGACCCGGCCGGGGGCGTTTRCAGGATGAGCAGGGCAGGTTCAGAAGAGGAGAGAGGAAACAAGGGCTGGGGAAACTGCTCCATCGAGAGGYTGGGTAGAGAAGGAGGGACTGGAGAGACCGGGCGGAGCTGGGCATCCCTCCTGGGAGAGGCCTCTGGGGTCGGTCCTTGCAGGAGCGGGGTTCCGAGAGGATCCGCACCGAGTTTATGGACCTGTCCTGGCACTCGCCCCGTGCTCCTCAGCAGCTCAGCTGCTTGTGACCCRCCGAAAGCCAGGGAACACGACGTTCCCGTTTGCATGCAAGGACGCTAAGAGCAGATGCACAGTTAAACCTGCGAGCAAGCTTCCTAAGGAGGCTGCAGCATAAACACTAATTAACCYCGGCATTGAATCAGCCTGTACCAAGCGCTGGGATTTCAGCGAGCCTTTAATGGAGACACCTCCAGCTATGTTTTCCTTAATTACACCTGCAGTTTTATGTGTCAAGATTTTGACTGTGTTTTTATATATATATATATGCATATAATAAACTAGGGATTTATAAAAGCTTACTGTTTTCAGGATTTGTCTAAACCTCAGAGGAAAAACCTTAGCAGCAGATGCTTAGGTATTGCTCATAACTCATAGCTGAAACTCTTGGTGCAAAGACCTGTGCTGATTTTGTTCAAAAATGTCCTTTTTCCCCCTACATATTACTACGAGTAACAAAGCTGCCATCACTACTTTAAAATGATTTGCAAGACTAATCTAAATTTTACTGTGCGGTAAGGAACTCTTGCAGTTGCAGTCCTTTTCAATAAATCATTGGCGTGTAAAAATACTCGGATGTTTAGAGCAGTCATCATGTGAACTAAGGTGCCCGGGTGCGAAGCGGGGCTGTTCCATAGAACTGCCGTTTATTTAGACTGTAAAATACGCACGTGTACGAGTCGCTCTCACTGCTAATGCAGTGGCTGAGCTCTCCATGGTGTCGCTCATCCACAAGGAAGTGCCTGCCGTGTGGAAGAAGCCGGCTTGGGAGCACGGAGCAAGGGCCCAGCCCCTCATTCCGGGAGCCACTACTGCCCGGGTTCCTCTTTGGAAGCGGCCCCGTGTGTCCCTCGACTCCGTCGCAGGAGCAGTTAGAGGCTCCAGGCGCCTCGAGAGCCTCCCCTGCTCMTGCCGGGGGTCAGAGGAGGCTGCCCGTGCAGCGGCTGACGCTGATGTTCCTAGATTCCTTTGTGGTGATTCTTCCTGTCCTGCATTTAAGAACAGACTCATATTTATCTTCTTGTAGACGGAGGCTTATTTGATTTCCCGTGTTTAAAGCGTAGCCGGGCTGTTGTGCCTGTTAGGGCAGCAATGGAGGGACCCCCGAGCGAGGGTCAGTGCCCACACGCTCGGCTCCAGGAAGGGATTGCAGCAGAATCGCACCCGCGGAACAGTCTGGAATGCTGGGGTTATCCTGCTGAGGTTTAGGTGCCTTTTGTACCCTTCGGTATCCCTGTTTCTCCTCCCAGAYCCAGTATGTACCCTGCCTGCAGTCGGACAGTGTATTTGCAATATCCTAGTGGCATTTCATCTGCTAAAGGAGAGTCTAGGCTGTGGAGTGAGATTTAAAATTCAGAAGCTGCTCTGATTCTGCATCGGAAGAAGCAGCAGAAGAGGAAACAGAGCTGTTCAGTAGTCATCCCTGTTCTACACAATGCTTGGTGGCCGGGCACTAATGCTTAAATAACATCTAATTTAATATTTCACATCTCAGCACTCTCACCATGAAAAAGTTACCCTTAAATCGACAGGGCAAATCTGAACAAGGATGAGTGAGTCCTCTGAGCTGCACACGTGGTTTATTATAGCCCCTTGATTTGTGTGCTGGACTTTTCTGCCTTCATGCAGGGCATTTGCAGCCCATGTCTCTTGGTTGCTGTTGGTGTTAGCAGCTCCCCGTAAAGGCAATAAAAGCACCTGCTCCCTGTGCCTGCTGGCTCGGGGCTGGCTCTGCAGGCTGGGGAGGCACTGGGCGTCCCGCTGCGAGCGCCGGCCCGGAGCTGGTTCTGGTGCCGGCCGGCGCGCGYGGCTGCGGCTGCGGCTCCAGCTCTGCGGGTGGCCCTCACCCCGCAGCACTGCGGGCTCGGGCCATCCTCGGCTCTCATCATTTGCTCCTTCATCTCCTGATAGAGATGTGCAGCTCAATTAAGTTTGCGTTTGTAGAGACTGCAAGATGGTCTATGAATTTCATCATGATGTTGGCACGTCTTGCCATGTAATTTATAGAGATTTGTAACGATTCATTTGATAGACATTGTCTGTGGATTCCAGTTCACCAGGGATCAGTAGAACCGTAATTACACAGTAATTATCAAATAGCTTCCTCCCAAACGGCCGTGTCGGTGGGCTCAAGCTGCAGCCCCGGGCTGTGCGGCGTCTCGGGACAGGGGTGCCCTGCGCAGAACCCAGGCGGCTGCGTGTTAGAAACCGTGCGCAGGTTGGGTGACKGCGGCCTCTGATTCCTGAGTTGGGTGGCTGCTTTAGAGCTCACTSTTCTCCTGCATCTGCATGGAAATGTGCTTTACTTTTAAATAATCTTGTCAAAAAAAAGTAAGCAGAGGTAGAAACAGAGGTGGCGACTAATGTAAGATGTTTGATGGCTACAAATACAAAATCCCCCAGATCAATCCCTGTGCAGATAAAAGAAGTGCTGAGGCCCTCCAAAACGCTTCATTCTATTTTAGCCTGGCAGGCTGCAGCCGAGGGCTCTGGAAGCACGCGGGAGCTGGGCTGGCGGTGCCAGGGCTGGCAGTGCTGCGGCGGCAGCGCCCGTGCCGGGTCGTGCGGAGCAGGAGGCCGCGAGGGGCGCGCGGGCAGCGCCGGCCGCGCCGCCTTTCCTGCCGCAGCGGCTCCGGGTCCCGCCAGCCCACGGCCGCAGGTGCCTCTGTGGCCGCATGTCCACCTTGGCGGCGTGGGAGGGAGCTCCCCTGGTAGATCCACAGAATCCGTACAGTCAGAAAAGACCTCCAGGCTCCTTGAGAGCGACCAAAACCCCATCCCCGCCTGCCCGGCGCTGTCCCCAAGCGTCTTGTCCACATGTCCCTTCCGCACTGCCAGGGACGGTGCCAGCCCCTCTTCCCTGCGCAGCCTCTTCCAGTGCTCCCTGCTGTGAACTGTGTCCTGTCCCATTCCATTTTCTAGCTGTCCATCCACACTAAAGACATGAGTGGGCYGTGGCCTTACCCGTTTGCTT